AGTGATGTTCGGCAATGTGATTTGTTTTGTCTTGTTTCTTTGTAGCTCGTTTATGTTCAGTAAGCCTTATGTTTAAGTTCATGCCAGTTTCTCCGATATAGGAGGCGTGGCAATCGGAGCAGTTTAGTTTGTAAACTGCACCTTGTCTTTCGTTTGGTTGTTCTTTGTTCTTTATGTTCGTTAGTCATTGTCGCAACGTTATTATTGGTTTATGTGCAATACGTATGTTGTATGGTCGTACCGGACGCTCTACACAACAAAAACAACTATCTCAAACGTGTTTTTGACAAAAACAACTACAACTCTTACTTCATCAAACGCAACACTTACAAACTCAACGAACCCAACAAAACGAATAACTCAGTGACAACAGCAACGATACGTCATGTACAACAGCAAACAATACTCAAAGAAATGTTGCCAAATTTACAAACAACACACTCGTTGGTTGTTATAGGCTCAGATATTTTCCAACTTAGTTGATGCCATAGCGTTAATGGCTCATGCACACAATAAAATATCATTGGCGCGGAAAGAGCAGACCAAACCTGCAACTAAACAGGAATATGCAGCTATGTGTGCACTCGAGGACCAAGCAGACAGCAAATGTGTGTTTAAATGTGCAGACAGCGTGTTTATGATTCAAATTAAAACAGCAAGGAAGCAGTAGCTCAAAACTGCGCCATTTTCAAATACTTAGTCGATTAAACATTAAACAATTTAGACGTCGTGCATTTGGGCTAAACGCTACCCACTACCTAATTTTTTTCTAATATTTTTACAAAAATGTGTTTCTTAGATGCTTCATATACCAACAATGGAAAATGGTCCAAAGATCGCCAGACGATTTTACAAGGAATTTACTGATATTCAGGTAGGTGCTGCATGAATAATGTATTCATTCAACCCATATTTCGATCCTAGTTTCTATGTTGTAAAATGCATACTCCATACTGTCCATTAATGAATCAAACATTTACATTTTTTTGAATCATGACTTAAAGACTAAAATGAGTTTACTGTTTCTAAGTTGTTCTTCATTTCTTTCAGTATGGAAAAGTTTCCAGTCCATGGGCATATGTTGTAAATGATTCATCTGATGAGAGCGAAAATTTACATGCTATGAATCTAAACTAGTTGTTGTTTCTGGTTCATGGAAACCTTTTTCGTCATATGGACACTAAGAAGCTAAATATAACCCATTTGTAGAAAACCTCAATAATAAATACTTGTTTGACAGAAAGAATTTATGCTCGTTACCTTTATTTGCTAAAATAAATTTTTCCTAAAATAATTATGGCTAGTTGTAGAAAAGTCGGCTCGTGTTTTATTTTCCTATACAATGCAACTATTGCTTTCTTCATATACAAATAATTTTGTATATGAAACAGAGACTTTGTCGTTGTGACAAACTTAAAGATGGATTTCAAAATAGCAAATAACATGGTGAATGGTGATAATAACAATGTAATAGTTCTTAAAAGAACTGTTTTAACCAGAACACTAACCAAACAACTCAAAGGAACCGTTATTTACAGCTAGAAAGAGACACTATGCATTTCTGCAGACTACTCGTCAGGTGTCAACGTCTGCTAAATGAGAACCTCCAAATCATGCTATATTTAGAATGTTACAAGTGGTCAATGTTATCCCTATTTTTAGAGATGACACTTAAAACAGAGACAGATTAAAGACGTAATCGTTTTGTCGGCAAAGGACAGGATTAGTCAATTTAATTAATACCGTCTCCATGACGCGTAGCTGGAATGACGAGCGACATTTTTTAATAATTTGAAAGTTTTCATCAGAATAAGCATTGGCACAGCGAGTGTTGCTTAAAAGATGTTTTCCAATCGCTGAATCACGTAAAAATGCATAGTGTCTCTTTCTAGCTGTAAATAACGGTTCCTTTGAATTGTTGGGTTAGTGTTCTGGTTAAAACAGTTCTTTTAAGAACTATTACATTGTTATTATCACCATTCACCATGGAATTTGCTATTTTGAAATCCAGTTTTGTATATATTTGTATACGAACTGTGTACAAACTAAACAAACTTGTATAGAACTATGTATTTTTTTTAAGTAAGTTTTACCTCTCTATTACTTCTCCAAAGTTGATGTAAGTCGCAGCTAAAATTATTCATAAATTTTTTTTCCTGTAACAAGTTTAACAAGCAATAGCCGAATATCTTTGTAGCTGACTAGAGTATTCAATTAGAAAGCAACATGCGCTAGACTTATACAAAATTAAATAAATTTGTGATAATTTCGGAGTTTCATTAGCTTTTGACTATATTTTCGCAATTAAGTTTTTTTTATGCTTTTAATAATCGATATCACTTGTCTCCGCCAATTCGTAAAAACAACCAGTAGTTATCAAAGTACTTAATTGCTTGTTTTAAACAAGCAATCTTATCTTAGGCTTTGTCTTAGTGAATAGTGTTCAGTATAATGTCGAACGATTAATCACAAGTTAAGTTTAACAATCCTGCGTTAAATAAAGTTTTTAAGAGCATATTTTTTAGTTTTTTATGTAGAACCTATCATGCTAGAATAAACAATGTATTTAACGTAAGAAAATTATAATTTTAACTTAAGTTATTCTAAAAAAGCACTTTAAGAAACAAACGTGATAAATAAATAATGATTTTGAAGACGAGTCAACGTTCCGCAAGATGATGTGTATAAAGAAATGCTTAAAAATTTTCGTAACAATTTTTTGGTGGTTTGAATTTTTTGTCAGATTGAATGCTTCTATTTTTGTCTTTAAGTGGCTCAAATAAAATGAACCTAAGTGCCTTTCTAGCTTAATTTATGTATTAAAAAGTGACATACGCAATAAGTTAGCTACTTAAGAGAAACAGATGTGTCAAATTTATACATAATTTATTAAATTTACTATAACTTTGTTGTCTCATTAGATATTGGCGTTATTTTAGTAATGAAAGTTATTTCACTTTAATATTTTATATAATTCGACGCCTTCTTTACATAAACAACGTGTTGTTATGACAATTTATATTTACTAGTTTATGATGTCCATTGGATAAGAAATGTTTTTTATTTTGCAACGTTAAATGCAAACGCAAAATTGTTTCCTCCCTATGATTCATTTGTTAAAATCCACTTATCAGCAAAAACTTTTTTCTAAAACATTAGAACAAGGTTTAATGTTTAATGTATCCGTGAAGAAAACCTTTTAATTTTTTCAAATCATCTTTTTGTTATGTCGGTTGTAAGTTGCGTTTCAATGGAACTGCTAGATTCCGATTCTAGCAGAATTATAATATCATCGAAGATATTTGGTACCTATATCTTCTATTGACAAGTGCCGTGCATGGCGTCACAAAAGTAAGTTAATCAAGACTTTTTGAACGACAGGCAACTTCCATTATAAGAAGCAATTTTACCAAATTTACACAGCGAAAAATATGGAACAAATGAATCAACCTAAAAAAATTCCACTGATAGGTTAGAAATATTATCTAAATTCAACATCACAAATAAAATGTTTTTGCCGTTCATTTCTCTGTCACATGTTTGATCACTGTGTAAAGTAAATATGAGAGCATATCTTAACAAATAGCACTCGCCTTTGGCTCATGTTTTGAGCACTTCACTTAACTCTCGCTTAGCTTCCTTGTGTTTGGAAAAGGCAGTCCAAAAATAAAAACCGTTTAGTAAAGGTTAATTCTTCTTTATAATTATGCTTTTCTTTTAAAATAATTTCACTTGAGTATACTTTTTCAAAATTAATTCAAGCACGGAAGAAAAATTTTTCATAAAATTTGTTGTCTTTTATAGGCTCAAATAAGATTAACCTAAATGCCTTTCTAGCTTTATTTATGTATTAAAAAGTGACATACGCAAAAAGTTAGTTACTTAAGAGAAACAGATGTGTTTGATTTAGAATTAGTTTTATTAAATTTTTTTGTCTCATTAGCTTTTGACGTCATTTTAGTAATGAGAGTTATTTCACTTTAATATTTAATATAATTTGACGCCTTGTATACGAAAACAACGCGCTTTTATGACACTTTAAATTTACTAGTTTATGATGTCCCCTGGATGAGAAATGTTTCTTATTTTGCAACTTGAAATGGAAACTCAAAAATTGTTTCCTCCCTTTGATTCATTTGTTGAAATCCACCTATCAGCAAAAACTTTTTTCTGAAATATTAGTACAAGGTGTAATGTTTAATGTAACCGTGAAGAAAACGTTTTAACTTGTTCAAACCATTTTTTTGTTATGTCGGTTGTAAGTTGCCTCTAAATGGACCCTGTCCATCTTTGCAAAAATCTTATTCTAGCAGAATTATCATATCATCGAAGGTATTTGGTATATATATCTTCTATTGACAAGTGCCTTGCATGACGTCACAAAAGTATGTCAATCAAGACTTTTCGAACGATAGGCAACTGCTATTATAAGAAGCAATTTTGCCATGCATTTTGCAATTTTCAAACATTTCAATGCTGCATTTACTGAGATTTAGCCTTTGTAATTAAGACAGTGCATTTGTTTATTTCCGTACTAATTTCAAAATAATCTATGCAAAGCAGTCTAATGCTATTTTTACGGCATAAATAAGAGTGACTGGCATATATTTTAGAATACGCTAAAAGTTAAATAACTTAGTTGGGAACTCTTTAAAAATCTATAAAAGATTGAAACGAGAAAATTTTAATCTTATGCATTGGAATGTTAAAGAATATGAGATAACACGGTTGATTGATCTGAAAATCAGTCAAAAACTTGGCCATATTCTTCAATAGATGCATTCATATTTTGGAAATAAGGTACAAACAATGTTTCAGCTGTTCAATCAAATTTAATTATTTACAAAAAATTCTTTAAAAGGGTATAAGTATATGCATGCATAAACTATGTATCATTTTCATTGAAGCCACATTTAAATTACAAACGTAAAGTCGTACTATATTATTGATCTTTAAGTATGCTTTCTTCTCTGTCACTGCATTTTCAGATTACTACATATATAATCACAATTGCTTTTGAAGTATACTGTGATATTACTGAAAAATCCATGTTGCGTTTGCTGGAAAAAGGTTAGTTTGTGTAAAGTTTGATAGATGAATTTGAAGTCATAATTTTTAAATTTAGCATTAAATTTTAAAATTCGCAGCTCTTTTTCTTATACTTTAATACAACTTTCATGTACATGGTTGGAGTTGAAAGCAAAAAAGATATTTTCAATCCCGTAAACATCACGAGTCTCGATAAATTTACCGAAGTGCATCTTATCATCTAATTTATAACTATCTTAAGTTTTGTTTTTAAAAGTTTTTTTACTTCATCATTATTTTAGAGACATGTCCATTAAGGGAAAATGTTTTGTTTGAAGCATTTTTCTCATCGGCAGATTCATGTGCATTGAAATGTTTACAAGAGCCGTTCTGTGTTGGTTTTAACTTTTGTGAAGACATAGCGATAAGGGACGTAACTTGTCAATTAACCCACACACGTCCACTGAACTATGAACATTGTACAGATAACAAGTGGAGTTTCTATGAATTGTTAAATCCACAAAGAAAGGTACGAAGGAAAAACATACCAACGGTTTAAATTACTTTTATATACAGAGCTACTTATTTTAATTAATTGCCCATTTTACTCTTAAAGATACCATACAACAAAGAAAAATTGTGCGAAAATGGCGGAATAACGACTGTTGACTTGAGAGACGGACCTGGTTCTGATCCTTATAGATGTCAATGTTCTTTTGGCTTTACGGGGGAAAATTGTATGCAAAAACTATGTAAGTTTGTTAAAAATTTGGATGCAGCACAATTTGTTAAGATATTTGCAGCAGTTTTCCTTCCCCAAACAGTTTTCACTTTCTTTTCAAAACATGACGAGAACAGTTAACTTCACACGTTATAACTGAAATTTTATACAATTTAAACGACGCTATAATATGTACATTAGAACAGCTGATAAAGTGCATAATTGACACGCTCGGAGACATGCTCTGATTGGGAACTTCATCTCTTCACCCTGAATTTGGAAAAATGTGCTAATTTTTGTGAGAAAAATTAATTGAAAAGTCGTCCAAAATCTAAATGTACGTTTTTTATTGCTGTGGGACGCCAGCACTATTGTATCTACAAATGACTTTACGCCAGTTATTGGAATTGTAGATGCCGAAAAGAGTTACTGTATGAAATAAATTTGTGTTCTAATGCTTCAATTAACTATAAATATTTTTTTTATGGGAAAAAAACTTTGCAATTTGCATTTGCTTTGTCAATACTAAATAGTCCGTTTAAAGCCTTAAGCCCAATTGCTTTGTTCCAAATAAAGTTCCAAGCCTGTCTCTTCATACGGAAGTTCAAGTAGTTATTCATGAGTATACAACAGTAGGCAATTATTAAGACGTTTTCGAGAATGACGACTTGTTCGTATTGAAAAAGCTACCATAGCCATATTTTATTGATAAGTCAGTTGGGTCATCTGTAAAAATCGTAAAAAAAGTTGATACTGAGCTCGAGAAACAGTACTTTAATCGTTCAATTTATTTGTTGATTTTGATGTCAATTTGTTGCTCGCTACTATCGATGATTGATTGCACCATTTTGTCAAATTTTAATTAAAAAAGTTCTTTAACATATAAAACTCAGCATTTTGTATTCATAAAATTTTTATTTGCAAAACATAGTCATAGTTCATGTGTTATGTGTCCATAACAACATCTTTTCATCTTCCTTATTTAGCAATGTTGTTTATCAACTGATCTGATAAATTACGTACTATTTGAGTTCACCCCATACCTAATTGATTTATGTCTAACTCTTCTTAAACTTTATTTTTCAGATTTTTCATCATGCAAAGAAGCAGTAAAAGATGGCAGGTATAGTATGCCTAAAACGTAGCTAATTTCCATAAACTATAAAGGGGGAATCAGTAGTCCTTATTTGGTTAAAAACGTTACGTCTACCAAACATAGAATAGTTAAAAGTAATTTACAGCAGTAAAAGAGGTGCATTTTTCTGCCAAAATTTTAAGAAATAAAATTAATGTGTAAATGTGAGCAGATCGATTAAAACTTTTGTAAAGATTCATCATGTTTTATATAATACGATTGTTTGCTCTAGTTAAAAAAAGAAAACCAATAAAATAATTGTTTGTAAAATCATTAGTAAACAGTTAAACAATAAAACTGCAAACAAGAGTTAGTTGTCGAAAGTTAGTTTCACATAGACTATCAGACATAAACCTAGGAACATCGATAATTTATAATGTTCAAAACAAAAAGCAAAAAATCTCAAAAACTGTCATTTTTTCTATACGCTTACTTCGCGGGTAATTGAGACAAGAAAACATAAATAAGCATTGTGTAAGTAGTTGTAGACTTAACAGTCAATAATTTCATTGGTTTCTACTTTTATTGGAGCAAATTAATTACCTAAAAATCCTGGTAAAAATCGCAATAGTCTTGAGCCATTCCCATGCATTCTTTGTTACTTTTTTGTAAAATAAATACCTTTTAAATAAAAAAAACTAGAGGTTATAAAGAAATTTTTGTTATAGAAGACATTTTTACTTTTTTGTAAGAACACGTTATTTAAAATACAGAGTTTGCGATTTCTAATAGAAGCTAATACGCTACTTTAAATGTTTTCCATAATTTTGAAATAAAAAACTCTCAATTATTAAATTCTCTCGAGATTTTTTATTCTTTAACAAAAAATATTTTAGAAAAGTTGTTCTGCTAACGTTTCTTGTGATCAACTATTATATTGATAAATTATAACAACAAAATTAAGTTAGAAAATTGTTTTCCTTGTAAACAAATGCAAAAGTTCAAAAGATGGTGTGTACTTGATAAAGACGGACACTTCACTTGGCTACAGCAAAGTTTTCTGTCAAAAAAAGATATTGGGTTGTTCTTGAGAAGGCTGGACGCTAGTGATGAAAATTGATGGGAATCAGGTATGATATAAACCTAGCCACGTTGCACTCATAAGCGTAATTTTTTAAAGACGTTTAAATTTTATATTTAGATTTGATGTTTGTATAAGAACATAAGTTTCTACTTAAACAAGGTTTCAACTAAATTACAACAATCTGTATTGACGTTTTGTGTATATCATTACGACTTATGCACGTGACTTAATGGAAACTTGATTCAAAGATTGAAAATAACAATTGCAATAAGATTATAATTGTGTTTTATAGCAAAATATCGCATTGCTCACTGCTCACTGTAGTTTTTCCAATGCAAAATGCCAGTGTCTGACTTTTTTAAGAATCTAAAATTCTCAGTTCTTTATTTTTGAAAAACTGATTTAAATGACTTTAACTTAAAGCGTTTATAACATTTCCCAAGTCAGATGATGCTTGGGAAAAGTTATCATTTGACAAATTTTGTGTTTGATATTTTATCGCAACTTTCTTTCACATCATGACACAACCAAGTCAAAAACCTTTTTTTAAAAACAAGTTTAGGAGAATTAAAGCAGCCTTTATTCATATTAAAAGGAAAGTGAGTTTAAACTCAAGTAATATGTTGTGCTTATTTTATTTTTTTTATGTCCAAGTTCAAGCCAAAATTCATGTCTAGAATGAATGAGAGGTGGTTACAAAATTTTCTCATAATTTCGAACATTTTTTGTTTTTCATACTCTTTGAATGAATAGAACATATTATTTAGAAAAATTTGTCTGTTTTCGAAGATTGAATCACTAAAAACTATGACCGATAGAGACTGTGCTAGTGTATTTATCACATCGGCAAGCACGTAAAGATGCATGTAGTTATGTGTGATTGACTAGTAGAACTGTTAACACTTTAGGTTTATTTTTTTGAATTTTTGTAAAATTACTTCCTTTTACGTCCTCGACATAAACGTAAAATTCCAATGAGTGAAGAGTTTAGTGTGGAAGGAAAGGCAGTAAATGTCATTATCACCACAATGTTATTTCCGCCTGTGTTCACATTGAAACATTATAGGCCGTGATCTGTGCCTCAAAAATATGCTTTAAAAATGAGTTTCGTTGGACACCTCAAGGAAGGTCGCAAAATTTTCAAAATAGATAGAAAGTCACTTGCTGTTTGGTATTCTTTTTATTGTCACTTCTAAAAAGCTGCAGTTTTTTAGTATTTCGCGGTTGAATTTCAAAATTCCTCGCTCCTTCAATTTTGAATGTCGCCATTTTTTTGGTGCGGAACTCTTTGATTTAACTGCCGTTGTCATGGTGAGGCAAATTTATTAACGGGCGCCATCTTGAAAGGTGGCAAAAAAGCGATATTCTTAATAAAGTCCAAGTAAAATGTAAGTTTTAAATGAAGAATTCTGTCGAAAATTTTGGGAGCAAACCTAAACTGTCACCTTTGCACTTATGTATCAACATAGGAGAAGCCTGTTTTAGACCTAAATCTTGTCAGTTTTAAGAACTCATGGTTAAATCGTGCGCAACTTCACTTTTCGAAGGATAGCAACGCATCTTTCCATAAATTTTTCCTTAAACACTAAAGCTTGGTAAGAAATTGATCATTACCACTAAAGAATTTTTTGTTAATAAGCTTTTAAAGAGGCACATCATTATGCATAGGCCTAAGATTAATGTAAAAATTGTAGAACAAACATTTAGCAGCTTACAGCTATGTTACAGATTCCATAAAGTACATGCTTTTCTGATTAACCTGCTTTAAGTGATGCAAGAGCAAAAATAAACTTTTAAAAGTATTGCTATCAGGCTATTAGACTCACTAAACACAAGGATTACTTTGATTCAATGTTTTGACCACTCTTTCTACAAGGTCACTCCACATAGGATAAGTGAAGTCCATTACATACCAATGTCCCAAAACCATCTTTAGTTGCTGTTTCCATGCATTGATTATATAAAGAATGACTTTCAGATATTCTTTATTTTACATCAACATTATAAACTTTTATCAAAGGACACAGAGTAAATTAGTTTGTATAGATCAAAATCATAACTACATTTCTTGTTGAGAAATATATATACAGGATCACTTTTTCAATCAATGTGCCAGAACTCTTTCACTCTCCTTTTCATGGTATGACAAAGACAACTTTTATCTATGAAAGTCCTCGCTAATCAAATTTACAATAAAACAAGTTTCAACCCAAGCAAAAAACCCCAGCTTTCTGGCTTCTGAAATGGCTCACTGAAAATATTCTTTCTTGAACTGTAAAACATGATCTTGAGCATAAAGCCTTAACTGAAGATTAACAATCATTACAACCTATGAAAGAGATTGCTGAAAAATACAAAAGTTTACCACTTCTGACATATTGTAAACAAATAGTAACTAAGTTTGTTCTAAGAATCATATAATGTTGAGTTCTAGCTTGCTGTTTTGAGATTTTATGCTTCTTAACTGAGATTTTTAACTTCTTTTTGCAAAATACCTCTCAGTTGTATACAGAATGCAATAAGAATGACTTTAGCAATATTTACACTAACTCTTGATTAGCAATGGAAGTTTATGGAACTTACATTTTTGTACCAAGCCGCGCTTTGGCCTTTCTGTTTACAACCACAAATGGATATTACTCCTCCGGATGAAAATGGGTGGCAAACGAGTGACGGGAAACTGCAAGTCTGAAATCGTATGGATGACCATTCCCCTAGCGCCGAATTCCCTACTTGATAACGTTCATTGTGGTTGTAAGACTGGCTGCAACCTGGCTGTAACTCCCAACGTTGTTTATGTAACAAAGCAGGAGTGAAGTACACAGATGTATGGTCGTGTACTGCATGCACGAATGTAGATATTGATGACGACAATGATGTTGAGGAAGGAAGAGGAGTTTTTAGATGATGACATTGACGACGAATTCGAGACAGACCTTTAAAAAAAGCGCGCCTTGTCTTGCACAATACGATTATAACTTTCAAAATATTATCTTCGCAACAATTGCTAAAATCCAACCTAATGAACGAGTGAAATATGTATTTCTTTCAGACATTTTATTTATGTTGCCAGTATTATCGTGCGGAATAGCTCTCTATTAGGTCTGGCACTAACACACAAAATATAAATAACATGAAGTTTCCTAGGGAAAATGGCAGATTTCGAAATTGTAATGAGCTACAAATTTTAAAATTTTAATGTAATATAGCAATAAAACTGCAGCTTTTTGGAGATGACAAGAAGTAAAACTGCGTTAAGAATGTAAAAGTCGTTCTGTCTTGAATTTTTCACGACCTTCCTTGAGAATTTTATCAGCTTCAATTTTCAGGCTAAATCGTTGTACGAAATTATTGCTGATGGAAAATACCGCCAAACAAATGTGAACCGAAACAAATGGATGTCATTGATTAAAGACAGTGTTCTTCAACAAAACTGCAATAAAGCGGGTTTCAACGCAAAGGCAGAAATAGGCTTACATGCTAGTATAAGGATTGGTATCCTGGGAAATAATGACAATAATTGTCATTCATCCGATTCTTTCATTGGGTTTGGTGGTCCATTCAACGGTATTTACTGCGGGCGAAAACCTCAAATAAACAGCTGCGGGAACTCAGCTTATTGCACAGGAAAGCCGATAATAGAGCTTAAATCAATGGGATACGTTTTTGTTTCTTAATTACAATAGTGGTAATAGCAACCATACTTGTTCTTGTTTCAGGCTATATATATTTTTAATTTGATTTATGCAGAACTGGCTGTAGATTTACTTTCTTTTTAAAGTAAGCTTTGCGAACTATATTCAACCATGTTTGTTTGAGTAATATTTAGCAAATTTTTTCAAAACTTATTAGAAAATCATTTTTTCAAAGGTTTCATTTGATTATTCTATAATGAGCATAAAATATACGTATTAAACACAACAAAATTCACAACGCTTACTGAAAATCCTTCACTATCCAGTGAAGCTAAACTACAACTATACTAACCCATTAACCCTTGACATTAATGGGTTAGTATAGCGTTTTCCAGTCAAGGGAGAGATCCCCAAGTGTTCCGATATTCTGGTGTGTAATTAGCTCAATATATATCTACATTCTTGTTAACTTTCTAATTAGTCTAATGATGTGATAAGTAAAGACGAAACGTCACTGTTTTAATAAATTTAATAAAACCAAATTGTTTATGACTATGTTTAA